AATTATCTTTCGTGACTTCTCGGGGTATAGAAGATCATGAGAAAGAAACTTTGTTGAATCAGTATCTAGATATTATCAAAAAGGTTCATCAGAGAAGTAAATTGGATTTTTGGAGTTAGGGCTTAAAGCTTTGTGATATAGCTTCCCACACAAGACACAACTTGACTGATGTCTATATATGCGACTGTCTGTGAGGGCGAGAAGTTCCTAATGGATTGCCTTTTTATTAGATTTTCGCTTAATGACCTTGATATGATCTAACTTTTTTTTAGTTATAATTTTGTTTTAACCAATCAATTTTTCTCTCTCTGTCTTTGTTGGAATGAGATAAATTGGATTAAGTGAAACATGCAAGAAGAAGAAGAATGGATTTTTGATTTCGCTGGATTCATCACATGATAATTAACAGCATTTTCACACTCTTTACTTAACAGCTATTATATGTATCATGGATTAAGACATTGAACGAAACGAGTCACAACTTTTATTTAGCCAAATTACATCATCAAAGGTGTTATCTTAAAACTACATTTATTTGTCATAGAAAGGACCCATATCAGTCTCTACAAACTTTTTGGTTAAAATCCTATAAGCTCGTTCCGTTGGATGGTAACTGTCCCAAAACATATAAGAAGACACATTCCTGCATAGAAGCGATGTAAATTGGTTGCAAAGCGGTCCTAATTCGACTAGCCCCGTACCACAGCATCCTCTATCAATCTCATCAAATCCTGCAAAAGTTCCCACCAAAAAAAAAAAAAAAGCATAATCTCAAACTCATTCACACATTCACATATATGAATACAAAAATGCGGCTAAACATATTACCATATTCTTTTGGGTTTTGGATCATATGAGTGAAGAGAGAGTAAACGTCAATATATACCAAAGTGGCGTTTTGCAAGGTTTCAGCCACTGAATGCAATCTTGTAGAGAGTTTGGAATTGAAAAGCTGAGCTGAAACATTTATTTCATTAGAACACTTTCTATCAAGTCCTCCTCTTGTGGTTCTTTGTATTGGTATACACCCGATCGGCGGAACACCAACAAATCCTATTTTTCTTGCTCCAGACTCATATAGTTGCTGCCAAATTTGATCAGAGGATTAGTTTCAACATACCACAGTGATAAGCATGAATCGGATTTTATGAATTAAGATTGTAGGAACCGGACAAACCAAAATTAAGAAAAGCGAATTAAGGGAAGAAATTTTAAATGACATATAACAAAAACGATTGGATCAGAGGATTAGTTACCATAGCGAAACTTGCAGCTGAGTTAGCCATAAAAGAGGTATATGAATCGATGTCAAATAAAAATTCTTCTGCATGTGTACCATAGTAGGTATTGGCTAGATCATCGCTTCCCGCAATCACAATGGCTAGGCCTTTGGATATTATGTGCTTAGCTTTCTCTTTCCCCACAAAGCCTTTCACTTTCTCTATGTATTCTTGAAAATATGTCAATTGGTCTGACATCGGTATTGCTCTCTTGGGTGCAACAACATAGATAAACACAAGAAAAATAAATAAAATCAAATGAAAAAAGTTTCAATATAAAGGAGATAATAAGAAAGCCAAGGAATCTCATGTTATTACTACTACTATAGGTGTCAAAGGATCGTAGCCAGAACCACCCGACGCAAAGGATACCCCAGTGAGGAGATCTTCCCTGGTTAGCCCGGGTCTCAAGTATGGCGGTAATGTTGGTTTTACTCCTAAAAATTCCGCTGTGAAATTCAGAAAAGGAAGAAAAATTAAAAAGACCAACACTACAAGAAAATAGGCCTATTTCTGACCGAATTTCCGACGGACAAAATCGGTCGGAAATTACCGACGGAATTCCGACCAATCTGTCCGTCGGAAACAGCTTAGTTTTCTTGTAGTGCAACAAGATCAATTTTCATAAGAATGTTTCCATTGAGGATTCTACCTGATGCATTGGCATGTGAGCTTATACGTAGATATGCATGAATATGTTTTACGTATAAGTTTGATAAATTAGCAGTTTTATGTTTAATCTAAAGACATGATAAAAGAAGAGGCAAAGTCACCAATAAAATCAGAAGGGATTCTGCCGTTGCAAAATCTGCCGGTGGGAACTCCATGTGGAAAATTCATGCCATAGGGGAGAAAATCAGCTTTGATCAATGTCAAAATGTAATTGTTATTTCCTGTGTCCACAATTGAATCCCCAAATGCAAATATCGCAGGAAACGTAGTGTTGCGTGACCCAGGTGGTGCTGGTGTCGGGGG